TTCAAAGAACCAGCTGTTTGTTGTATTAATTTAAAGTCTTTTAGTTCTCTATTTCATTCAATTCTGCTCTAAATTGTATGATTTCCTTTCTTCTGCTGACTTTGGGATGCTTTTGTTCTTTTTCTAGTTCTTTAAGATGTGATGTTAGGTTGTTTACTTGGGATTTCTCTTGTTTCTTGAGATAGGCCTGTAATGATATAAACTTTCCCCTGATTACTGCTTTTGCTGCATCCCAGAAGTTTTGATATGTCATATTGTCATTCTCATATCTTTTTATCTCACTTTTTTCAAAAAAAGTATTTGTATTTATTGAACAAAGTTTTATGTTTTTATTGTTACATAAAACTCAACTAAGTCTCAAGATTTGTTTACATATTCAAAAAAGCACCTTAGGTCCAGTTGCTTAAATTTTCATGTATTTTCTACTTACTTTTTAAAATTAAAATAAATATTCCTATGAAACAAATCATAACAGAACACCTTATTAGAGATGTCTGTGCTGGAAGAGTTCTCTGTGCTCCCATTCCAGTTTGTCCTGGCTGCCCTCTAGGTTTACCTCCTGTGTTGGATCTCGCCTTTCCTGGATTCCCTTTCCCTCCTTTCTTGGTTTACTCTTCTTATGAAACACAAGACTCCAACTAGCTTCCTGAGAAAGAGTGCCTGGGAGGCAAAATTTTTAAGATTTTACGTGTCTGAAAATATCTTTATTCAAACTTGCCTGTTTGACTATAGAATTTTAGCTTATATCAGTTTCTCAGATTTGAAGGCTTTGTTTCATTGTCATTGCTGAAAATCTAACGGCATTCTGAACTTAGCCAAAAGACCAAGAAGTGATTCTAATGACATTCTTATTTTTTTAATTTTTCCTTTTCTTTTTAGAGGGAACAGCCTAGGGAAGGGCAAGACAGATCACTCAAACTAGTAGTAGGTAGACTCAGAGCAGGGTGGGGTTGTCCACTGTGGTGGTAAAGGTGTTTAGCCTATGTCCTTCCCAAGAGGACAGAAAATGGATATAGTCTGCCCAATGTTCTCTATTTATGAAACAATAAAGGATTTTTGGGCGAATGAAAAAGAAAGATCCTTGGGCAGTAACATTTTTATATGAAACAAATAAGTGCTGTATATTTCTGCTTGCAGTGCCTGCTTTTTTCTTATGTACCTATCATAGGCATCTTTCTAGGACAAGAAAATATGTTATTTCTTAACAAGAAATGAAAGGTTTTTTCAAAGGCCAAGAACAGAATCTATGTATATTTTTGCACTTAAAGCACTCTAATATTTTTCTTGATAAAAGTGAAGATTTAAAGAGCCGCAGTTTCATTAGGTGCTAGTTGATGTGTGGCGGTTCCCCACAGCCTCATCTTCCTTTTCCTGTGCATGTAGTTCCTGGCTTATCAATGAAAATACCTGACTAAATTGTTTAAGCTGAATTCCTAGCTTTCTGTGCCGTATATTCCATTTTGTTGGCAAGATAGTCTAATGGCTTCCCTCCTGTTAGCAGAATTCATGGTAGAAAATTGGTAAATAATTCATTTTGTTCTTTCTCCTGCTTTAAAAAAGAGAACCCAGCAGGACAGAGATATTCAGCATATTATTTCATTTTTGAAGTTTTTGCAGAAATAAGATGATTAGTTATAACTCGTAGAGTTAAAAAGAAATACTTCAGTTTGCTGATTATGGCGAGCTCAACTAACCTTCTAAAATGTAGTGAGTTTTTGGTGTGATTTCAAGTGGCTTCTTTATGCTTAAATTTGCAAAAAGTTTCCAATGCTGTTTTAGTATTTCAAATAATATTTAAACAGTTTACTATCAACATTGATCTGAATTTATATGCAATAAAAGTTAAGTGATGTCTCCAAGTTTCTGGAAATATACATATGTATTAAAAGCCAAAAGTTGACAGTTTTGTGGTAAATTAATAGTCTTGACCTACTGTTATAAGAAGAGAAGTTGCTTTTAATCTGTGGTTTACTTTTTTAACCTATTTTGGTTATAATCTGTGTCAACAGTCACAATGAGCATTTTTTAAAATATCTAAATAACAATGTAGAAATTCTAACATTTTAAAAATAATATCCCTTATTTGCTTTTTTGTCAGTATGGTACTGCAAGTCTTGAAAATATAAGAAATTGAGGACAACTTGCAGGGCAAGGGCAAATGTGAACTTAACATTCAAATAAAAATTTTTGCATACTGTTTGCAGCTATAATATAAGGAAGTATTTCTGTTACAATTGTTGTTTCCTTCTCCACCAGTATAAAAAATATAGTTTTTATTATGGAAAATATTAAAACTGTGCAAAAGGAGAGAAAATGGCATAAAGAACCTCTAGATACCTATTATCCAGTTTCAACAATTGTAACTCGTGGCCGATTGTTTCATTCATACTCCTACCCACTTCTTTCTCCTTGCTTCCAGTCCACTTTGAAGCGAATACCAGATATCATGTCTGTTAGGGTTTGGCTGGTGATGTGGGTTGTGAAAGGATTTACAATTAAGAGATGTAGAGAGGAAGTTTCTTTTTACTTTCCAAGAGAGGAAAGGGCCAAGTATTGCTAGTCAATATAGGGCCCTTATTCTTTTATTGTCTTTGTAATTTTACTTTCCATTTCCTTCCCTGTTATTTTAATGGGGTTTCTGGAGTGAGTAGAGGTAAACATGCAATTTCAAAAGGCCATGTTTAATCAGAATTTCTCTGCTGGGCATTTTACATACTAAATATGTATTTCACCGTTTCCTTCTCCACCAGTATAAAAAATATAGTTTTTATTATGGAAAATATTAAAACTGTGCAAAAGTAGAGAAAATAGCATAAAGAACCTCTATATACCTAGAAATACTTGACCTCTTGAACAGGATCACAGAGCTAGTAAATAACAGCAGGTAGTCAGGTCCAGTTTGTCTGACTCCAAAGGCTGGTGCTTTTTCATTGTGCCTCCTTGAAATGATGCTTCTAGACTGGGACTTTTTTTGTTTAAAGCTGGAGAAAACAGCAAAAGAAAATTTTGGTGGCTTTTTAAAATGAAACAAACATTTTAGGGCTTGAATTTTTTCTTAAAAATACTTTTGTATTTTAATTCTGCCCCTATAGTTGTAATTTTAAAATGCACCATGTTTCTGCATAGCTCTAATGGTATGCTATACCCTGGTTTGAGCAGCAGAAATTGTAGTTCAATCTTTTTTTTGTAGATGAGGCCCAGACATGTTACCCATAGATCTAGCAAATTAATGTCCCAGCTGGGCCAGAATATTAGCATACTGATGACCCCCCCCCTTCTGATTACCTTTCCCCCAATATTTTATTTCAAAGGTATAGAGGAATTGAAAAAATTGTAAACACCCATAAACCCATCCATCCATCATCCATCCATCCATCCATCCATCCATCCATCCATCCATCCATCCATCCATCCATCCATCCATCCATCCAGTGTCTTTTAAGTACTTTCTACTACACTCTGATTCCAGGGTTTTTCCCCATTTATTTGAGTCATTAGTCGAGAGTATGAAGGGGGAAACACAAATATTTGAGTGCCTGCTTTATGCTTAGGACATAGTGGAGGGAATATAAGATAGCATTTATGTCCTGAAGGAGTTTACAACCTATTGAGTACAATTTATGAGCATATAAACTAGGGTAGTGCAAGGCTGTGCTTCCTGATTTAGTATAGAATTAGGAATTACTGATAAAACATGGAAAATGTTTAGGCTTAAGTGTAGCAAATTCACTTTCAACCCCTAGACAATATATGCATGCCTGTATACAGAAAAAATTATACTTTGTCATAAACTAATTCAATCTCTTCTTTGGCTCAGTGTTTTCTGCTTCCCTTCTTTTCCTTTTTTATGCTCAAACCTTCTCTGTGGCACATGATAAAAAGGTCAAAAAGAGGTACAGAATGAGAAGGCTTTTCTATTCAGTTCCCTAGCTGCCAGTTTGCCCTCTTAGGAACAACCACTCTAAGACCAGCTTCCTTCAATCTGGAGCTACGTAATACATATAAAAAGCATATCCATGTGTGTATATACATATAAATGTATTAAATACTCAGAAACCTAAGCATATACATTCTTTTTTACAGGCAAAAGGAAAGAAACCATTATTTGTACAGTTGATCCTGGAAAATATATGGAGTTTGTATGATGCTGTCTTTTAAATGCCATCTTTTAAAGGTTAAATATCTATGGTGGCATATTATACACACGAATTTGTACCTGCTGTTCTGATTAGTGATTTCTTCCTTACCTCCTGAGTACTTACTTCCCTTCACTCTGGACTCCTTAAATCAGTGTGCATTATATCTTCCATTCTTTCATGTGCTGGCTGTATTTCTATATTTATGCTCAGATAAAAGGCACTTGTCTCCTACTTGTAAAAGAGACAACTTGGGACAATAATGTCCTCACCCCAATTACCATCAGTACATCTTTTTAAAAATTCCACCTAGAAGCTGGAGGACAACAGTTGCCTTAAGACATTCTTGAAGCTAGATTAGGTGGAGATAGTTAGGAAAGATAAAGTGGTCTTCATCTGAAAGAGCAACCCTAGTAAGTGAATGAACACTCAGTGACATGTACAAATTCCCACCAGAGAGAAAGCATGTTATGTTTTTAACATTTAAACCTCTATTCTTTATTTTGCTTCACTGTGAGTCATATGCTGATTCTAAATAAAAGCAATTCCCTGATTTATAATTAATTCATCCATTGAACAAATCTTAATTGCTTTTTGGACCTCAGAATTACTGGGCCTTGTTCATCTTTCCTGAATCTCTCTTTCTTTTAATCCTTACCCAAGGATATGCCTTTGTCAATTTTAGAGAGAGAGGGAGGGAGAGAGAGAAAGAGAAACACTGATGTAAGAGAGAAGCATCAATCAGTTGCCTCCCGCACAAGCCCGACCAGGGATCAAACCCACAACCTGGGTATGTGCCCTGACTGGGAATTGAACCCACAACCCTTTGGTTTACAGGATGATGCTCAAAGGAAAGATAAATGATACAGTCAACTTTTTAATTAATAATCTTGGAACAAATACATTAACAATTCCTTAGTTATATAGCATTATACAATTTTGAAAGAACTTTCACATATACCAATTAAACCCTCACAACATCCCTGTGAGGTAGGCAGGGTTGGTGTTACTTTCCTATTACTAGTGAGAACAAGGCTCAGAGGTGAAGTAAGGTCACACAGTTGGTAAATGACGGAGCTAGGTTTAGAACCTAGGCCTTTTGACATGCTGCCTCCCTGAGAACATTCAAGTAATGATATCCTATGCTACATATAATGAACTTTTCTCTCCTATGATGTTGATCAGATCTGTTTTTATAAGTTTGATACCACCTTTTCCTAATATCCAAAACCACTCAAAATATGATGAGACATTTCTTCCTTATTACTGGACTATTTCTCTCAGATGAAACTTACTTGTATTTTAAATTTTGAAAATCCTCAAATTGAAAATTCACTTCAGAAAATTCTGCAAAAGTACTCTTAAGATGAATACGTCGAATTTGCTTATACAGAAACTGCACAAACCTGTTTATATTTTTGAAAGCTTTGCACTCTTTCCCAATAGGGTGTTTAGATGTGTATAAATGGAAAAAAGGAAAAGGTGTTCAGTAACATTACTGGGGAATCTATGCAGAGTGTATCCAAGTGCAATTCACATCACACTAATTTGTTTTTGTTGTTGGCCTTCTAGAGGAAGGAAAACCATTAGATAACTTTGAGGTGTGATCCCATATTAAGTATGACATCCTCAGCAACAAACTAGAAAAATGATCTGAATTATGCCAATAGGAGGAAGGTTCAAGCAGTAGTGATCAAAGCATGTGGTAAAAAGGAAGAAACACTTGCTCTTCAGTGGTTTTGCCTAGGTCCAGTGTAAATATTCTTATCAAGGCAAATTTTAAGCTATAGCATCACCTATGTTAAATTGAGAAATGTGAAACATGGTAGAGTTATCAACTTGGAATATAAGACTGAAACTGAATGTAACTGAGTCAAAACTACCTATCAAAAAGCGAGTAAAGCTCAATGGGCATAAAAGGTAAGGGATACAACTCAACTGCTCTGGTATGGAGAGAATCAGCAAATGCACACATTCAGGTTAAAGTGAACTGTAGAACAGAAGGCATATAAAATAGGTTTTAAAAATATGAAAATGCACTAAGCTGTATTATCAGGAATGTGTTTTTTTTTTTAAATTCCAGTTTCAGCCTTTTAAATTTGAGAGCAATGGGGAGAAACTTAAGCCTATGGGGAGGAGATGGTGCAGAAAACAAATGGGATCTAGAAACGGGGTTTGAGGAGGTAGGAGATTAGGGAACACCAAGAAACAACTTAAATACATTCAAAACTGGATGTAGAATCCTAAATCCACTCTCTCCAAAATGTTTACTAAATTGAGAGAATTGTTTGTAAAAGCTGGTGACAATAAAAGTGACTATTTTACCTCACAAAAGAAAGTAGTACTTGAATATAGATTAGAAATTATGCTGTTAAAGATTAGTTCACTGATCAGGCTGCATAAACTGAAATGTAAGTGCTGCTGTCAGTGACACATGGCAGAAAACAGCTTCCAAAAACTGAATTGCCATAGTAGGACTCAACATTAGTGAGACTATTAAACAAGTGCTTAACTTTTTCTACTTGAAGCCTAATGAAAAAAACATTGGCAGCTTTACTTAAGAACTCTAACAGTTTACATGAATATGAAAAATATTGCAGCTACCTTTAAGTTTTCTAAGATAAAACTTGAGAAGATCTAGAATGTTCTAGTTCAGTATATTGGGCTCAAAACCATCTATGTGTCTGAAATGCATTTAGGCTATCTTCCTTACATAGTATCATTGTCATCATCATCTTCATGTTTTCTCTTCAATGGGTTTGATTCACTGGCCGTGGTCTGCGATGAAACCATGTTAGCGGTAATGAGAATATTTTTGGGTCCAATCACTGAAGGATTAATCAGAACATTTTGAACTGCAGTTGTTGCAGGAACTGTAAACAGAGGAGAAAACACCCCCAAACTATGAATTACCCAGGGTCAGAAACATATGGTAAAAAGTATTCAACAGAGTTAAGTGTAATTCGAATAATTTCAGTAGCATGAAGTACAACTACATCATAGAAGAAACTCAAGTAATTGCACTGCATTAAAAGTTGAATTAAATTTTAAATACTTAAATTAGTATCTGGTATAAGGTTAAAGGAGTTCTGTTATTATTTTTTTTAACTTTTAACTACCTAAAATTTTACTTAGTACTTAGTCATGGGAAGCAACACACTGGATTCATCATGGTAAACACCAAAGGCATATATATGTTCAAGGTAAGGAATCATGCTTCCCTTATAGGCCAATATTTTACATAAATAGTTTACTGTGTGTGGTTAAGTTTAAGATGTGAATTTAAACATGTGCATTAATAAACTATACTATAACAGAATTCTACTTATATTATTCCTACTTTATATGTCTCCTTCCATGAAGTAAAGGCACACTTTTCTTTTGATGTACACTAATTTGTATTATTTTCTTGAGCTTTAACCCCAAGTGCTTTCCCCTGAAGATGGCTTAGATTTGTGGGCCCTAACTTATTTTAGTTTACAGTGTTTTTTGTGAAACTGATGATCACAGTGAATACTCTCCCTAACCCCCAAATGTTACATATCTTTTAAATTTCACATAATTTTAGTGGGCTCATAGACCCCTCTAAAGATTTGCAGCATTACTGCCACCTTCTTGTTATGATAGTAAAACAATTTAACTCTTGCTATATGAACACACACTGTTCTATACTCACAAATTATTCAGAAATTTTAAAATTCAGAAAATATATTTTAAAAGAACCACTTACACTACCCCTGCCAATGATATTACCTGGTTTGACAGATGTGGACTGAGAAGGTGGAATCTGCACCGTAAATCTTTGGCTTGCCACTGACACTGGAGGTGCAACTTTATTTGTGACAGACACTGTTTGTGGGGTTGCTGTAGTTGTAATTAACAAACAGACCATGTTAGTTAGATGACTTATTATACAGGTTCATCTTCTGCCCTCCTTAGCTTACGAGAAACTAACTTCAAAGCACAGGGAAGTAATAAAAGGTAAGAAAAACTCATTAGAAATAAGAGTGAAGTAACTTCAAAAGTGTTTACAAGCTCAATCGTTTAGAATTAGATGCTAAAATTTCAGGAAAGTGCAGTGGTAAAGAATGTAGGCTCTGGAGCCTACCTGCTTGTGTTTGAAATCAGGCTTTTATCGCCTACTAGCTGAGTGTCCTTGGGCAAGTTACTTAATCTTTTTGTACCTCTCTTTTCTCATCTGTCAGATGGGGACCACAGTACCCATTTAAAAGGATTCTTGTGAGAGTTAAAATAATCCATGAAAAGCTCTTCAAACAGTGACTGGCACTGCATTTTAGTGAAAGGAAGTCATAAAGTTGAGCATTAAAATAAGCTAGCAGAATAAAAACCCATGTTTTCTATTAATTACCCTATGTGGCACTTTTAATTTTTGTCACTTGCTGAGAATTAAAAGATGTCTACTGTGCCCATGAAGCTAAATCAACATGCATCTAACAGAAGCCTATCAAATATACCCCTTGGGGTCCCCAGGTAGGCACAAAAATATTTTTTCTATATCCAGATGTATTTTTTAAGTAGAAAGGGATCTTGGAGATAACCTTGTCCAACACCCCTCATTTTAATTCAACCCTTATAATCCAAGGTAAAATTCAAATACCACCCCATTTTATAAATTTTTTTATTTGTTCAGAAGTCATTGCCTGTCTCTGAAATTCCCTTAATGTTATAGGAGCCTTATTATTAGTGTCTTATATTGTTCCCTAAATTGCAAGCCTCGGCTAACCTTTTTTATCCTTGTGAGCACATGGTTTTTGTGCCTTGCTCCTAACAGGCACTCAACAAATGTTTGCTTAATGAATGAATTTTGCAAGACTCAAAGACCCAGCATGTATACTGATGTCACAACTCTCTTAAAAAATGCATTTTTGGAAACATGTATGTTTCTAGTTTTTCCTTTGGGGATGCAAAGGTTTTCCATATATCCCTTTCCCCTGGAACTTGCAGTCTGCCCAGGGATAGAGTTATTGAAAAAAAACTACAACTGTCATCTCCAGGGACAAAGGAAAAGAAAGCCTTAATGGGGGAAGAAAGCCCAAAAGTACCCAGAAACCTGGGTCCTAGTGCTTTGTCTCACAAACACAGGAAGTGAGAACTTTATATCTTCATCCCTAGGCAAGTTTTCTCATGTAGTAAGGAGTGGTCCAAAGAATCTGATGAAGCTTAATGAAGCAATCAATATAAGTTTTATTTTGCCAAGAAAATTCACAGTAGGTAGGTGTTTTCTTGGCCATTACTATAAGGAATTGTTAACATTTAACTAAGTATGGAGTTTAGGCTTTAAAATTCAACACAGTAGTTGCTTAGGTCTTAGGCACTATAAAATTCATTGAAAAAATTTTCAAGTTAAAAACTTGCAACTTCTATTTTAAAATATGTTTTTACTGATTTCAGAGAGAGGAAGGGAGAGGTAGAAACATCAATGAGAGAAAAACATCAATTAGCTGCCTCCTGACATCCCCTACTGGGGATTGAGCCCATAACCCAGGCATGTGCCCTGACCAGGACAAAGCTCAAACAGCTGAGCCACACTGGCTGGGCAAAACTTGTACCTTTAATAGTTTTTAGCAGCTTCCTCAACTATAGATTTTAAAAATATGTAAAACGTGTACAATAAATGTCTAACTAGGAATACTACACTACTGATCTTAGGAAAAAGGCTGAGAAGTGATCTTACTAGAAATAAAAATCACAACTGATAACTAAAATTGGTTAACTTGCCAAGAACACATGTAATGGATTACCACAGCCTAGACTTAAAAAAAATGGTATTCACTTAATATGAATCCACAGATAAACAGTATTGACCAAAGAGTTACACAAATTATATATGCAAATTTCTGTCCACAGAGGTCACATGAAGTTAGTTAGAAGTGTACAAGAAATACATGCCCGGCTGGGCGTGGCTCAGCGGTTGAGCGTCAACCCAGGATCCAGGCGATCGGGGTTCGATTCCCGGTCAGGGCACATGCCCGGGTTGTGGGCTCGATCAATGACTCTCTCATCATTGATGTTTCTATCTCTCTCTCTCTCTCCTTTCCTCTCTCTGAAATCAATAAAGATATATAAAAAAAAAGAAAAAAGAAAAGAAAAAAAGAGAAATACTATACCAGGCTGGTTTGAAAATGCTGAAATGTAAATTTACATCCTGAGAATATGAAGAGATTATCTATACATCTCAAAATTCAAATGGTGCTTATACTAGAGCTATATGACCTCTACAGGATTCAAGTTATAAGCAATAAGAGCCAAAAAACAATACTGATCAAGGAGAAGGGAATTTTTTTCTGAAAATAGTTTGACTATGAAAGAAATCCAGCAAGAATTTAGGACAAAAAAATCAGGAAATCTAAAACCATTATTTATATATTTCCTTATTAAACAATGACATTAAAAAGATACAAATAATGGTTTCTAAATACCACTCTCCACTAAAAGGAACCAGAGCTCTTTGGAGAAATGACTGATTCTAGGACCAAGGTAGAAATATAAGATGAGCTTGGAACATCCTGTGCCAGAAAGCAAGAAATGTTCAAAGAATGAGGGACAGGCACAGATGAAGGGGTCACTGAATACTACTTTTGAAAACGTTAGTATTAAAAACAATGATTTTTTTCCTTTGATATTCTTAAACATTTTATACATTTTTAAACTTTTGTTTGACTGAATTCTGTTGCCAATTTATTTGGAAATTTCTTTCCTTTCTGATAGTAAGTTGGCTACTGCCATGAGTATGTCTGGCAACTTCATTTGTATAGAAGGCAGAAAGAACACAACTTAAACTCCAGTTTTTGGTATTATAGTTTATACCAACAACAAGGTTGGGTAATGTCCAAATTTATACTCATTTGGGATCAGATATTCCTTGTTCCTTTCTCATTTTGAAACCTGATAAAATATATATCTATAGCTTTACTAGAGGATGAGTAAATATAATGATGGCAACACATAAGGGAATTTCTGACTCACCTTTTGACTTGGATTATAGTTCAAAATCAAGTGCTGAAGCACTTCTTCTTTACCATCCAGAAAAGGCATTTCCCTTTCTCACTTACCTATAGTAGGAGTGGTAGGTCTGCTACTAACAGCACCAACACTTAACCGTGGAATTAGTCTTCCTTGGTTAGGTCCCTAAGGGATTTAACAAATTAGTTTTAATGTTGTTCACATTTGACACCTAAACCTACCAGGAATGATATTAATGTTGTTGATGTGAATTATTAATGGATAATCCATGGCAAGAATGTCTTGTTTTTGTTCTATTAGTGTTCTAAATCTAACATTAAAACTAGGGTTTTCATAAATGGATATGAGTATATATGTATATACATACATATAATTCTATATAGTATTTGGTTTAAGGTAGTCTTATTTGGGGATAACAGCTAACTTCTTTATAATTTTTAATCTTATCTTAACTAGTCAATGTCTAAACCCCCCCAAATAAACTCTCTTATAGTGGAATTTCAGACATCGAAAGCAGCCCAATGTGAAGAGAACTTTTTCAGTGGTGAGGGAGCCTTAGGTCATATTTCAGAAAGCAAGTCCAATTCTTGACAGTGTATTATTGGGCTTCACTAAAAAACTATGGTATTTGGAAGGATTGGGAATTAGGAGACCTGAGTATCAGTCCTAGCTTTGCTATTAACTCCATAGATAAGTTTAGGCTCACTTTACTGATGTGAAAAAATAAGTGTTGGGTTAGATGAACACTGAAGCTCCTTTTAGCTCTAAAAATCTTAGATCTTACAGTTTGTCTTTTAACATAGAGGCTAACTGCAGACATGCAGGTATTTTCAAAGCAGTACATTTTTAAAAAATCCTAGTAAATTAAATTATCTTAGTTTTTAATCTACTCCACTATTTGCTGGCACTTGCTTTTTACAATTTCCCCTAAAACATCTTAACTTTTAAAAAAGCTAAATAGACCCAAAATTGTTTACCTTTTTAATTAAGGACTTCAGCCTATAGTTTGGAGATGTTAAGCAGTATCTGTCAGGTGGCAGTCTGGGTCCTGCATATGGCTTAATCAGAGGTAAAGGGGTTTGATTTTTCTGCCTTGCGATATCCAGTAAAAACTTAAAAAAAAAAAAAAAATCCTTATTATAATTACAATGAAAAAATTATCAGTAAAATGAACTTTAAATAAAAGTTTGCTCACATCTCTCGGGGGAGGAGAGGTAAAAGATTGATCAGCGCGACACTGAATTGCCAGTCTCACATCATCTGCATCAACATTAGGTTTCTTAGCATGGCTCGAATAAATTTTTGCATCATCCAGAATTGTAGTCACATATCCTTTAAGAACAAAACATTTTCTTAAACATATGAAAATTGTTTAATATTTATGGCCACTCTTCTTAATGGAAGATTCCATTAATTTTTAGAAAGTTTATGCATTTTGTTTTTAATATTGAATTGTTCCATATATATGAGATCAATTTAAATATATCACAGTACTAATACTATTTCCCCTTATCTTGAGCTCCTTTTTACTGCTTTAGGCTGAATTCTATGATGTTAACTGTTAATTTATTTGAAAATGCCTTTACAATAAAACGGTCTTTTCAAATTCACAAATTAGGCAAATTTTTGGTATTTTGTTAACTTACGGAAAGCAAATTCCAACATTTGGTTTATAACCCTTGGTTCGTACTCCGTAATTCCCATGTCCTTCAGGATCTGTGCCATCACCTGTGGATTCAAATAAAAAACGCCAGATGCATGACCTAGGTATTAGAAATCAAGACCGGACCCAAAGTGGCATTTATATTTATGATACAAGGTCCACGTTCTCTGGGCTCCAAACTTGTACTTTTCTTCACAGGTGAGTGTCAGGAACACGCCAAATGCCGTTGTACCCTCTTTGCTGAAAACTTTTAGTTTTTTGGGCGGGGGGTGGGGGCAAAGAG